TGCTGCGTCTGCTCTTGTCGCTGAGCTTGTCGACTTTGCTGCTCGCTGTCGTCTAGACTACGCTGCTAGTCTTGTTGCTGAGTCTGCGTCTATCTGTCCTCCGTCCGTCGGGGGTGAGTGTGCTCTTGGCACGGACGTCCTAGAGGACAGGCAGGAGGAGTTCCAGTGTCTGGCTGCTGCTTCACCTCATCTCGCGTCTGTACTGCTTGCTCCTGAGGGAGACCCGGATGCACTAGACATCCCGACTCCGCGCTCTTACGCGGAGGCCGTAGAGGGTCCCTACTCCTCTCAGTGGCAGGCAGCTATGGATGCAGAGATGGCTTCCTGGAAGTCCACAGGCACCTAAGTTGACGCGGTTCCCCCTCCCGGGGCGAACATCGTCAGTGGCATGTGGATCTTCAGGGTGAAGCGGCCGCCGGGCTCTCCACCTGTCTTCAAGGCGCGGTACGTGGCTCGTGGCTTCAGTCAGCGACAGGGAGTTGACTACTTTCAGACCTTCTCTCCCACCCCGAAGATGACCACTCTTCGGGTGCTGCTGCACATAGCCGCGCAGCGCGACTACGAGCTTCACTCTCTCGACTTCAGCACTGCATTCTTGCAGGGTAGCCTGCACGAGGAGATCTGGCTGCGCCGTCCACCTGGCTTCACTGGGACTTTCCCTCCTGGCACCCAGTGGAGCCTCCGACGGCCAGTCTACGGTCTCCGCCAGGCACCGCGTGAGTGGCACGACACACTGAGGACTACGCTTGCGACTCTTGGGTTTGCTCCTTCTACTGCTGACCCGTCGCTGTTTCTGCGCACCGACACTTCTCTGCCGCCGTTCTACATCCTCGTGTACGTCGACGACTTGGTCTTTGCCACAGCGGACACTGCTGGACTCGCCTACGTGAAGTCCGAGCTGCTGAAGAGACACACGTGCACAGAACTGGGTGAACTGCGCAGCTACCTTGGCTTGCAGATCACTCGGGACAGAGCACGCCGCACCATTACCTTGACTCAGTCACACATGGTGCAGCAGGTCCTTCAGCGCTTCGGCTTCACGTACTCCTCGCCTCAGGCCACTCCTCTGTCTACTCGTCACTCGCTCTCAGCTCTGCCTTCGGATGAGTCCGTAGAGTCGAGTGGCCCGTACCCAGAGCTTGTTGGCTGCCTCATGTACGTGATGACCTGCACACGACCTGACCTTGCATACCCTCTTAGCATTCTTGCACGCTATGTTGCTCCTGGGAGACACCGACCAGAGCACATGGCTGCAGCGAAGAGGGTATTGCGCTACTTGTGTAGTACGTCGGGCATGGGGCTAGTGCTTGGAGGGCGGAGTCCAGTGGTCCTCACTGGTCACGCGGACGCTTCTTGGACTGACGACCAGGCTACGCAGCGGTCGTCGCAGGGGTACACCTTCAGTCTTGGTTCTGGCTCTGTCTCTTGGCGGGCTACTCGCTCGTCTTCTGTTCTCGGCTCCAGTTGTGAGGCTGAGATCTACGCCGGGGCCATGGCTGCACAGGAGCTTCGCTGGCTCACCTACCTGCTGACTGACCTCGGAGAGCCGCCTCGTTCTCCTCCAGTGCTGTACGTAGACAACAAGGCCATGCTGGCCTTGTGTCAAGAGCAGCGCTTGGAGCACAGAACGAAGCACATTGCTCTCCGTTACTTCCTTGCTCGTGAGCTGCAGCAGCGTGGTCAGTTGCGACTTGCGTACGTGGCCTCTGAGGCCAACACTGCTGATGTTTTCACCAAGGCACTTCCGCCTTGTGATCATCAGCGCTTCTGCACTCAGCTGGGACTTGTACCTGTCCTACCTCACTTGCTCACCTCTTGACCTTGCTTGTACTCTTGCATATATATATACCTGCTCTTTCTTGTTTAGTCTTATATATATATGTCTCATCTTGCATGTGAACTGGCCTTGTGGCCTTGACCTTGTGCTCGGACTGTGTGGTGACTTTGTGATCCACCCTGAGCTTTGCTTTGCTTTGCTTGACTGGTCTTGTGACCCCTTGTTCTCCCCCACTTTGCCTATGGGGGTGTGTCAGAACTTATAGCTTATGCTTTTGTGTAGGCTATAGTGGGGTATCCCATAGGGGGTACAACCCAATTAGGGTTGGTACTTGTACTCACATATTTCATAGTTCATTCATTCGTGTTCTTTCTTTTCACACCTGGATCACCTCCGGTGTTCAAGGCGTGCTATGTGGCCAGAGGCTTCAGTTAGCGCGAGGGAGTTGACTTCTTTCAGACTTCCGTTCCGACCCCGAAGATGACTACACTTCAAGTGTTACTACACGTAGCAGCACTGCGTGACTACGAGCTCCACTCCCTCAACTTCTCCACTGCCTTTCTCTAGGGACGTCTGCACGAGGAGATCTAGCTACGCCATCCTCTTGGTTTCACTAGTTTTTTTCCCTCATGGGACCCAGTGGATCCTGAGGCGACCAGTCTACGGTCTCCACCAGTTGCTTCGTGACCTAGGGTTTTGCCCTTCCTCTGCTGACCCGTCACTGTTTGTTCGTGTCGGCTCGACTTCTTCCTTTAAACTCATCTACGTTGACGACTTGGTCTTTGCTACACCAGACAGGGTAGCTCTGGCTGAGGTGAAGTCCAAACTGCACAAGAGACACACGTGCATTGACCTTGGTGAGCTGCAGCGCTACCTTGGCCTGCAGATCACCAAGGACAGAGCTTGCACTATCACGTTGACGCAGCTACACATGGTGCAGTAGGTCCTTCACTGGTTCAGGTTTCAATTCTCTACCACACAGCCCACTCCTCTTGCTGTAGACCATAGACTCACCGGCCCCTTCCTCGACGAGCACTTAGAGCCCAGTGGTCCCTACCCAGAGCTTGTTGGCTGCCTAGTGTACCTTATGACCTGTACTCGCTCGGACTTCGCCTACCCTCTTAGTGTCCTCTCTCGCTTTGTTAGACCTAGGAGGCACTGTCTTGTTCACTGGACGGCTGCCGTGAGGGTGGCGAAGTACCTGGCGACTACATCAGGCATGGGGCTTGTGCTTGGAGGGACTCGGCCAGTTGAGCTGACTGGCCTCTGTGACTCTTCTTACGTTGACGACGTGGAGACTCAGCGCTCGACCCAGGGGTACTATTTTAGTCTGGAAGCTGGGGTCGTGTCATGGAGGTCCATTCAGTCGTCGTCTGTGGCTTCGTCCAGCGCAGAGGTAGAGATCTACGCTGGTGCTATGGCTGTTTAAGAGCTTCGGTGGTTGACCTTCTTGTTCATTGACCTTGGTGAGCGACCTCGCACTGCTCCGACCTTGTTCGCTGTCAACAAGGCCATGATTCTCTTGTGTCGCAAGCCTCTACTGGAGACCAGGGTGAAGCACATCGACATCCGGTACTTCCTCCTGCGTGAGCTACAGCGACGCGACCAGGTGCGCCTAGACTTTCTGGCCTCGGAGACCAACACTGCTGACCTCTTCACCAAGGCCTTGTCGCCTGGTGATCACCACCGATTCTGTGTCCAGTTAGGGCTTGTTGAGGCAGGTCCTCGGTTGCTGTAGCCATGTTGCTTCCTCTGCTTGTTGTGTTTTGCTATTGTGTATCCTAGTGAACTCTTGAACTGGCCTTGTGGCCATTTGCTTGTGCTCAGAATTTGTGTGGTGTCCTTCAGATCCACCATGAGCTTGCTTTGCTTCTTGCATTGACTGGTTTTGTGACCGTTTGTTCACCTTGCTTGCTTTAATGCCCCTCACTTAGCCTATGGGGTTATGTCAAATGTTGATAGTTGTAATAGGTTGTAGTGAGGTGCTCCTTAGTGAGTACAACTCAGTTAGGGTTTGCTATTTATATCTCACACATTCCTAATCTCACGATTCCGTTGCATTTTAACTTTGAGACATGATCGACTCATGCCCTATGAGATTATGGTAAGCAATGTCTTTTGGTATAAGTTTTGGATGCACCCCATGATACGAACACACACGCCCACACCCACGCCCACCCCCCCCCCCCCATACACACATACAAACACATACGTTTGTACTGTTACGAATAGCAAAATATCATTGTGCACTTCTGACCGCAGCTAAGTGAAGCACGCAATATCGAGAATGATTGAGTTGACCCAAAACGACGCAGACGATTAGAGAGGATCTAGACCGTCGGAGCGGATGGCATCGGGCAGCTGCATAGAAGAGGGATTTGGCGGGAACAGTTTTGCAACTGTACGCGCCGCACGGTTGGAAATGAATTTGATTAAGGGAATGTACCCCTTAGAGTACGTGGCTAGCTGGGACGATTCGAATTCCCTGTACTCATACCGGTATTTATACTTTCTGTACTTGCATGCCTTAATCATCTCAAATCATCTTACATTCATTCTGCTATTGAGTTCAAGGGCCCACCACCACTACTCAGTTGTTTGCGAACCTTCTCGAGGTGATCCTAGGGTCGATCATTCTTTGATCATAACATTTAGTATATATATACAAGTTGGGTGCAATATCTGGCCTCTATAGCGATATTGATGATAGTCTAAATGAAATTATACTCGAAAGTTAGGTGTGTATGCTGTTTGTTTTATCAGAAAGTTGTTGTCGAACGTCTTATGATATGCTAACACAACTATATTTCTGTTGACCAAAGATTGAATTGACTAAGAGGCTGTTCTTAGCCAGCAGCTAAAATAGTGAACCCCCCCTTCTAGTTGGGTCCACTCGAAAGCAGAAGATTTTTTGGAACGCTTCTTAAAGTTGGAAGTGCTGTGCTTTTATATTTTTTTCACTAGAGGCGAGTCTCGGTGTGAACAAGAACATTTGGAACATGTGTACAATTCTGATTGGAAGCGAAACTCACACACAACTCACACATACTTGTATGTGATTTTGGCGCAAGGCTGCAGTGCCTGTATGCACCCTGAGAAGTGATCATAACTTCACCAAAACATCACATCAATCAAACACCAGGCAAAATCCAGCACACGCACACATGCAGGAGATAAGAGTGGAGGTGGGCTGATGACCTGGCAGATCTGCGAGATAAGGCGTTTACCTGTATTTGAGAGGCTGAAAGAGGTTATAAAATAGTGAGTCGAAGAACGAGGGGAAAAAATAAGTTGGACAAGGTATCACGAAAGGATAGTATGATTGAGATGGGGAGAGAGAGAAGAACAACGGGTTGGGGGGAGAGGAGGCGAACGACGAGATGGGAGGGGAGAGGAGGAACGTGAGCGCGATGCCGACGGGAGGGAGAGCGCGTAGGCGACGGGACGTGAGAGCGCGAAGGCGACGGGTAGGAGAAGAGACATGCGACAATAGGGAGAGCGCGAAGGCGACGACTGCAACGGGAGGGGAGGGGAGAAAAGGAGGTTGATAGTAAGGGAGGGTTTAGAGCGAGGGTGACGAGAGGGAAGGGAACTGGAGACTGCGAAGGCGACGAGGGGGAAAACGACAAGAGGGGAGCGGACAGAGGAAGAATGACGGGCGGGGAAGGGAGAGAGCGCGGAGGCGACGAAGAGAGAGAATGCGGAGGCAACGGGAAAGAGAGCGTGGAGGTGAAAGGAGAGAGAGCGCGAAGGCGACGGGAGTGAGAGCGCGAAGGCTGCGGGAGAGAGAGCGCGAAGGCGACGGGAGGGAGAGCGCGGAGGCGACGAGAAAGAGAGCGCGGAGGAGACGGGTAAGAGAGCGCGAAGGCGATAGGAGAGAGAGCGTGAAAGCGACGGGAGTGAGAGCGCGAAGGCGACGGGAGAGAGCGCGGAAGGCGACGGGAGAATGAGCGCGAAGGCGACGGGAGGGCGAAGGCAGCGGGAGAGAGGATAAGCGACGGGAGAGAGGAGGGCGACGGGAGAGAGGAGGGCGACGGGAGAAAGGAAGGCGGCGGGAGAGGGATAGGCGAAGCACGAGAGATATTGGCGACCGGGAAAAATGCAGAGCGACCGAAGGGCGATATACCAAGAGCGCGACACATGCGAGAGAGGAGAAAAATGTATACTATAAAAATCGTCGTTTACTACATTACGCACGCGAGCTAAGTCGATACAACGTGCCTGGGCTAGAAACATCTAGGCTCTATCAGCTTTACTACTACCGTATGCTACGCAACACAGTAGTGTCGTCGGGACTGGAAGAGAGCTAGTCATTCACCCAGTTCCAACTTGAAGTGGAAGTTGGGCCTGGCAATGGAAACGATCGCATGGCAACGGTCATGCGGGGAGCAGCGTGTAAAAATGTGACGGCTAACTTGGGCCTCGAAAATCGTTTTGGCGGGAGGGGAAATTTCCAGATTGGCTTGAGCCAAGCAGATAAGTTCAACCTGCCAACACGGTTTGTTTGGAACAGTGTTGTAACACCCGAATTATTCACAGCGATTTCAAGTTGGGTCTGCCTTCACTATTTTATACTTCAGTTTTAAAGGGAATGTACCTCTTAGAGTACATGGCTAGCTGGGACGATTCGAATTTCCTGTACTCATATTTATACTTTCTGTACTTGCATGCCTTAATCATCTCAAAGCATCTTACATTCACTCTGCTACTGAGTTCATGGGCCCACCTGTCAATGTAATTCTATGCTTGTAGGCTACAGTGAGTAGCACAATAGGGAGTACAGTTGTTAGGGTTGCATATTTGTACTCTCACACTTTCTAGTTTCGGACATTCTGTTGCATTCCTATTCTGAGATGGTATCACGAGTTGTTCATTTTTAGCTAGCCTCCGTGTGAAATTTAGAAGAAGGGAGAGGACTGCACTAGCAAGAATGAGGATACAAATAGCAAACCCTAGAAGGGTTGTACTCGCTATAGAGCACCTCACTACAGGCTAGAGCATAATATTCTGACACACCCCCATAGCCGAAGTGGGGTGTAATCAGCAGAGCAAGCAAAGCAGTACAAGCTCAGGGTGGATCACAATGACACCACACATTCTGAGCACAAGTCCAAGAAGCAATAGTTTAAGTTCACAATTATGAGCAAAGCTAGGGGCTATCGCATAGGGCAAGTGAGGAGGAGGAGAGAGAGTGAGAGGAGAGAAGATAGGAGGCGACAGCTGAAGCTGCAGACACACGGGCAACAGGAGGCACACTGGCACAGCGGCTACCGGAACAACGCTCCGGAATACTCGAGTAACTGGCCCCGCGGCAAAAGTAGCGGCAGACGAGCAACGGACCCACGGGCGGCTGGCACAGCTGGCTACGACTAGGCTACCGGAGCAATTCCCCGGAATACAGGTGCTGCCAGCGACACGACGGCAACCTCCATTCAGCTTCCCAAACGATCCTACTCCCCCTAACGCACACCCGCTGCTACACCCCTAGCTCCACTCCCCCTTCACCCCCCCCTTAGTACCACTCCACCGGCTCCAACAAGTCCACCCCCCCTCAGCGGCAGCTGCAGCACAGGGAGACGGAGGAGGAGGAGAGGCAGGGAACAGTACACATCCGCCACCCCCCAGCCCCCGAAGGACCCGCGACGGGCGACGGGAAAAGGTGGGGGGGGGGGGGGGGGGGGAGGCGGTGCCGTAGGTAGGGCGACGGGCCCGAGCCGTAGGTAGGGCGACGGGGCCGGGGCCAGGGCCGCAGGTAGGGCGACGGAGCCGGGGCCGCAGGTAGGGCGACGGGCCGCAGGTAGGGCGGCGGGACGACGAGGCCGCGGCCAGGGCCACAGGTAGGGTCGCCCGAGCCGCGCGCAGGCGGCCCAAGCCGCGCGCGGGCCTGTCGCCGCACGTACGGGCCGCGCGCGGGCCTGGCGCAGCTCGTACGGGTGGTGCGCGGGCCTGGCGCAGCCCGTACGGGCCGCGCGCTGCCGGTACGGGCCGCGCGCAGGCCAGGCGCAGCCCGTACGGGCCGCGCGCTGCTTGTACGGGCCGCGCTCAGGCCACGACGGAGCCGAAGCCCGCCGCGCGCCTCGGGGCGCACAGCGGGCAGAGAACCGCCGCGCGCCTCGGGGCGCACGGCGGGCAGAAAACCGCCGCGCGCCTCGGGGCGCACGTCGGGAATAAAACCTGCCACACGCCATGGGGCGTGTGGCACCAAGTGTAGAGGTAGCAGTTGCAGCGGAAGCTAGGAGGTGGTAAGCCCACCCACAGGATCGATCTAAGGGGATGGACCTGCTCTGATAGCATGTGAAATTTAGAGGAAAGGAGTGGACTGCACTAGCAAGAATGAGGATACAAATAGCAAACCCTAGAAGGGTTGTACTCGCTATAGAGCACCCCACTACAGGCTAGAGCATAATATTCTGACACTCCGCGCCCTGCGCGCCCTCCGTGCTCTCGCGCCCCCCGCGCCCTCCTCGCGCCTAGCCCGCGACCTCCCGTGCTGTCCAGCCTGTCGCGTGCCCTCCTTAGACCTCCACGCGCCCTCCAAAACCGCCGTGCGCCCTCCTTAGACCGCCGTGCGCCCACCTCAACCGTCGCGCGCCCTCCTCAACCGTCGCGCGCCCTCCTCAACCGTCACGCGCCCTCCTTAGACCGTCGCGTGCCCTCCCCTCTGCCTGTCGCGCGCCCTCCTCCGTCAACGCTTCCCGTGTCAGATTTGTATGACATAGCTGTTGTTGGCTATAGTGGGGTAGCACATATGGGGTACAGCTTTCTAGGGTTGAATTTGTACCCAACTTTCACTTAGTCATTTCATTCTCGTTCTAACTTTCTCATGGTATCAGAGCAGGTTCCTTAGTGGGAACTGTGCCTAGGGCCCACCACATCGATTTTTTTTTTCCTGCCCGGAGCGCGCTCCGCCCGAGTCGCGCTCCTCTCTTTCACCTCGTCAAGCCGCCCTAGCGGCCCCGTCGCCCTAGCGGCCCCGTCGCCCTAGCAGCCCCATCGCCCTAGCGGCCCCCGTCGCCTAGCCCTAGGGCCCCGTCGCCTAGCCCTACGGCCCCGGCGCCGCCCTCTCTCGGCCCCGCCGCCCTTCGCTGCGGCCCCGCCGCCCTTCACTGCGGCCCCGCCGCCCTTCACTACGGCCCCGCTGCCCTTCTCTGCGGCCTCGCCGCCCTTCGCTGCGGCCCCGCCGCCCCTCTCGCTGCGGCCCCGCCGCCTATCGTGCGGCCCCGCCGCCCTTCGCTGCGGCCCCGCCGCCCCCTCTCGCTGCAGCCCCGCCGTCTATCCTGCGGCCCCGCCGCCCTTCATTGCGGCCCTGCCGCCCCTCTTGCTGCGGCCCCGCCGCCTACCTTGCGGCCCCGCAACCCTTCGCTGCGGCCCCACTGCCCCTCTCACAACGGCCCCGCCACCTACCTTGCGGCCCCGCCGCCCTACCAGCGGCCCTGCCGCCCTACGCGACCGAGCCGCCCGCACCACGAAGCAGCCCGAGCCGCCTGCACCGCTAAGCAGCCCGAGCCGCCCGTTCCGCCCGAGCCGCCCGAGCAGCCCGAGCCGCCCGAGCTGCCCGAACCGCCCGAGCCGCCCGAGCCGCCCGAACCGCCCGAGCCGCCCGAGCCGCTCCGGAGCCGAGCCGCTGGTGCCGCAGAGCCGCAGTTGCTGCTGAGCAGTCCGAGTCACCCGAGCCGCCGTGTTGCCGAGCTGCTGTACTGCCGAGCTGGCCGACCAGCCCTGTCTGGTGAGAGCAGCGCTTCGGTCACTGCACTGCCCCTGTCCTACAGTTAGTGCTGCTAGTCTACTGGTGTCATGGCTACCCCCAGTGTTCTCGCTTTTGACGCTGAGGGTCGGGCCATTGACTTTGAGGTCTGGGTAGATGACCTGCAGCTTTTCCTACAGTGCGATAGGGCAGACGGTCTCTCTCTCTTTGACCTCACCTCTGGTGCCTCTCCTGCCCCTGCTGCTGATGCTGACCCCACTGTTCGCTCCCTGTGGGCCACGCGCGATGCTGCTGCATGTCTTGCTGTGCGTTGCCACCTGCCTACCACTGAGCGCGCGCACTTTAGTCAGTACAAGAGTGCTCAGACCTTGTACGGCGCTGTAGTTGCGCGCTACTCTTCCCCTGCCACTGCTGCATTGAGCCGCCTCATGCTACCGTACCTCTTCCCTGACCTTGCTGCCTTTCCCACAGTCGCTGACCTCATTACGCACCTCCGCACTAGTGACACTCGCTACCGCGCTGCGCTTCCTGCTGAGTTCTGCGCCAAGACCCCCCCCCCCCCATGTACATCACTCTCTATTACATAGTCGCCCGCCTCCCTGACTCCCTTCGTGTAGTCAGGGACCACTTCCTCTCAGTATGTCCCACCACTCTCACTGTTGACCTCCTAGAGAAGGCCCTCCTAGCAGCGGAGAAGAGCATAGTGGCTGTAGGGGCCTCTCGTGGTGACCCTCGCACCCCCATCTTTGAGGGGTGTTCCCCTTCCCCCCTTTTTCCCTCTGTCGCCTCTGCTGCTGCGGCCGACCTCGTTGGTCTTGACTCGGTCAGTGCGGCGTCTGCCCCTAGCGGGAGACGTCGCTCTGGCAAGGGCAAGGGGGGCAAGGGCGCGGGTGGAGCTAGGGGGGGTGGTGGAGGTGGCGGTGGAGGCGGTGGAGGGAGTGGGGGTGGCGGTGGGAGTGGTGGCAGGGGTGGAGGAGTCGGTGGCAGCAGTGGAGGTGGAGGCGGCGGAGGCGGTGGCGGTGGGAGCGGAGGCTGCGGTGGTGGCGGAGGTGGAGGAGGCGGTGCTGGAGGAGGTGGAGCTGGTTGGGGTGGCGCTTCGCAGCGGAGCGGCTCCGGTGGTAGTCAGCGCCAGCAGCAGCAGCGTTCTCGAGACATCCCCCCCCCTCAGCAGCTCCTTGAGTGGTACACGCAGCGTCAGTGTGGTGGGGGTTTTGGTCCGTGCACCTACGTCCTTCGCACCGCCGACCGCGCGGGTGAGCAGTGTGGGGGTGCCCACCCCACCCAGCGCTGCTTTGGCCGCCTGACGGACGCTTGGCGTCAGCAGTTCCCGGAGGCTAGTGAGATCCCCCGCTGGGGAGAGCTGTCTAGGGCAGGTGTAGCTATGTATGATCTTCACTTTGATGCTATCCTTGCTGCCATGTATGCTGTGACTATTAGTGATGAGGGTGACTGTTACCGGTGTTTCCCGCCCGACCCGGGCATTGCGACTGCTGCTCGAGGGGCTGGTGAGGCTGCTGCTCTAGGTGCCAGT